TAATTAAGATGTCTGTCATGGTCTGTGGGGTGGGGGGGGGGGGGGTCCAAATTTCTACCCCTAAAACCTTCAACACTGCTTTCAGATCGTGTTTCACAAAACAATATAATCATAATGTATCAAACGTTTCAGTCACAAGGAATGCTTCCTTGATGAGGTGTTAGTCACTCAAGAAATGAACGAAACTTTAGGCATATGACCAGGCCAATACGGTCTCTTCATAGATAAAGCTTGATGGCCCCTATTTGTACATTCAGTGGTCCTCCATATATGATGGTGTGAATTAAGGAACGCTGTAAAAAAAGTCATAGCTTTAAAAGAAAGACCTTTAAGCTTCTATTCTTGTGGAATTCTTCTGATAATAATGTGCACTAATCAACATGGTAAGTTTAATCACAAAGCAATTTTGTCAGTTGTCAGAATTTCTTCACAACAACGCTTTTGTTATGCAGATATCAAGTGAACATTCTGCTCTGCACTGTAAATTACGCTTATTCTCGTCTTTCAGTAAAACGCAGAAAAGTAGTTTTTGTACTTGATATCAAATTACATCATCTGAACGTATTTGCAACACAAATAAGAAAAAAATAATTAAGTTATACTGATTAAAAGCCGAAAAAGTGAAGCAATAGCGAGAAAAACAGAGTATTTTTGCTCCCATATAAGATTTTTTGACGTGACACCAGTGTACTTATTAGTCTGTGCAACAGAATGGTCAAAAACAGGCGTGAACCTTAAAATCCCCATCGATGTTAACTCGAAATTCAATTCAGCATTCTATTTGTGAGAGTTAGCATGCAAATACTCGTGATCAGCACGGACAGCTTGATAATCTTACCAATTTAAAAAAATAAAATTTTTGAATTTTTATTACAAATCTCACAAGATAGTAGAATAGTCGAAAATCAGGAAGTAATTTCAACACAATTGACCGTGCGAGATTGATAGTCCATATCGGTCTTGCCCTCTTCATATAGTGATTTCTTGAACATATGCTGAACGGAAAAGTGACTCTAACACCAGTCGTCCTTTCTTTTTCTTAATCTCACGTTTTATAGGTGTTGCACCACATTTTACTGCCCTATCATTCGAGAATCTTGACTTGCTCTTTTACTGAATGATGTGAGTATAGAGTGTGGGCGTTTGTGTCAGTGGGTGTGGATCTTGGATGCACATTGCACATCCTCACTTGATCCACATCTACACCCACACCCTAGTCCTGATGTAGTTATCGCTGGAGCTCAGGAAAATTTTAACAAGTAAATGGAATAAATCGATTACTAACCATTAGTAATGCAATTGTATAGGTAATCTGTTTTTTTAAAAAGCAGCTAGCGTCTCAGTAATATACTAAAGATCATAGAGTGCATCTTATCGATCTACCTTTAGTCGGTCTACTTATTTTGGAGACAATGCTTGAACATGAGAAAGTTTTGAGATGTATTTCGTAAGAGAAAAATTTTAAAATTCATACAGTCCGACAACGAGAGGGTCGAAGCAGTTCGTAACAGTGTATCTCTATAATAAGATTCTCTTTTTTTCAAATATCTCCAGTGCACATAAATCGTTGTTTGTATTCAAAATAGAATAGAAGGGACGAATTTGAATATACTAGGCTTTCATTTCGATCTGGGAAACGCTTGTATATGCCGTTTCTCAACTGACTTTTTCTACTTTTAATTGTTTTTGCAAGAACAACTAAAGAAATCAGACAAATAATCTATGATACTATGGGCGAGACGATAGTTTTGCTTTCTCACAAGTCTTTGAAATATGCCCAAGATTTTTAAAAATCAAGAAAGCAGACGCGATGAATTCAATCGATATTGCTTGATTTCGTTTAATTCAATTCAATTCGATGTGATCCGGTTGAATCACATTGAATCGCGTCATCACAAGTTTCACTTGATTTTGGTCTCTGATGAACAAATAGATTTTCCATCAAACTTCAGATTTTCAGAAGAAAAATTTGATGTCAGACCATTTGAAGCCACTTCTTTATTTTGAAACACTTCTAAGACTCCGTCTAAAACATAAGCGCCTTAGGTTTTATATCAGGTTCTAAGTAAGACCTACAATTATCTCCTTTGTGCACACAAAATTTTCTATGTTGATGCATAACGACGAATACGTTGATTATAACAATAGTGCCAACTACAAGTACAACGACATTACCAATTATAACAACAACAACTAAAACTACTAGTCAACAGTTAGGTGAGCATTATTTTAATGATTTTTTATCTTTGTAAATGCTAATTTTTAACCAAACACATTTAGTCCCTTTGTGTGCAACATTACTCTCCAATCAGCTGAGAATAACATTGATAAGATCAGCAACCCTTTTATGAATGATTGACTCTCTATTATAGGAAACAATCAATTCATATGGATCTCCATGTTAGCTATTTTTCGTCGCTATCGAAGGTTGTTTCGTTTTGTTGATATCTATGAAACAATAACTAGTCTTCATTTTTATTTGATACTACTACATATAATTCCTTTCAACAAAAAATGCTTCTTTCAATTAGAAAGAACCGTTGCACTTCAGATGCTATATTTTAAAGACTTCTTATCTCTTTTTCGTTACCTATCTGAATTCCGGTAATCTTAAAATAAAGTGTCCGAATGCTGCCCAAATCTATTTTTTGAAACCCTTCATTCATAGCTTTGACTGTTAAGATCACAGAGAACTTCTTTCTTAGTTTCTAGGAAAGATTAAACATTTCACTGCCTAATGATATAAGATTAGTCGAAAACTAATTAATTGATCAACCAAGAGAAGTGTTTGAATAGGTCCAAGGAAAATTTTGATTATTATGTGCACTTTATGCGTATTATTTACTATATAGTATAAATCAACTAAGAGTACAAGACATGCAGAAACATACTAACTTGTGCTCTCAAAGGTCTTCATCGTAAATATTCACTAAAAATGCATACGATACTGAAATATATTGAAAACATGAGATCTTTCGGATTTTTAATGATTAGAACAGATAGCACGAACATGCGATGTATGGGAATCAAGATTACGGAGAACCAGAACTAGTCCATCTAAGAAAATATGACGATACATCTAGATGTTATATGAAAATCATCACTGAAAAATAGGGATTTCTGAAATTTTCAAATGATGGACTGCTTTCATCTGTTTTGAAGCGATACGTATTCGATGGTCTCTTCTCATTTCATTCAAATCAGAGGTTCTTTGCATGAAAGATAAATCTTGTGTTCATGAGACCCCGTTGTTTTCTTTTTTTTTCGAGAGTCTTTCAACTTCTTGCTTTCATTTGAATCTTGCCACAATTTGTACTCTTTGAATTCTTTCAAATATCTTGAAGCTTTTGAAATCCCCCTATTTTCGAGTTTCTTTCGCTGTTTTCCGTATTCCTTATAAATTCTTGTATTTTCTAAATTCTCTCACATGGTTGGGATGCTCAGAATTCACAGAATACTGCGATTTTTTAAAATTCTTTTGATTCCGTCTTATTTTATGGAATCTTTCGAATTCATGGATTCTTTGCATCTTTCAAATAACTTGAAACCCTTGAATTTCTGCGATAGTTTCAGCTGTTTATGTTTATCAGAGTCGTCAGACCTTGCGGATTCTTGATGCTTCGTAGATTACTTCAGTTCATTAGTCTCCAACTCTTAGTTTAATTGCTTCGATTGCCAAGATTTCGTAGAATCTTCTTTGTAAAAAAGGAAATTTTGATAAAATTTTGTCTATAGTAGAGTTATTCTTTTTCAAAAAAATAAGCTTTGAAACAATAGAAAAATATTTGAGTTTATCTGTCATTGCGATAAATACCACTGGAGATGCGGCAGCGAATAATTACTCAATGAAAAAATTGCCGGACTATAAATTAGACGCATAGCTTATCACCGATACCCTCGTGAATTGATCTTTTCGACTTTGGTTTATGCAGTATTTGAATATCATCAAACCAGTTATCAGTAAAAAAATTTCGTTTTCATCAGCTGTGTTCTTCTTGATTTCACGGTTCTGGTTTTGCTTTCCATACAATTATTTATTTTATTTTTTTCGTAATCATCTCGCTCTACCAATTACTTACGTTTACATGAGCACATCAGATCTGAACTATTTTTATTCATAGACTGCTCTAATTTCATAGCAGAATAACAAGTAAATTTTTAACAATTACAAAAGATAAGAGAGTCTTACATACGTGGCTACTTTTTTCCTCTGTACAGGCAAGCTGATATATGTTTGCTTAACTCGTTAGGGTATGACTTTTTTCAATTTTTAAAATTCATTCTGATCTGTTCGTGATGTAGTGTAGTTATTACTTCTAAAAGGATGCTCATTATTAGAATCGATTGAATTATACGAAGACATGTTTGTTCTTCGTCTGCTAATAGCAAAAACAGTTTTATATTTATTGTAATGCTGATGGAAAGAAGTCTTTGTGTTTCTTTCTATATCGGATGATTTGTCTTAGAGATAGACCAATACGTAGATTATGCATTAAAGATGAGAACGTTATTGTGATTGGCTAATTTCTTATGCTTTTGTTCTAGCAATGAGTTGTAGGAAAATTTTTTACAGCATATTCAAGATAGAATTTGTATGTAAGAGAAGTAAATAAGAATAAAAACTTTATGCTAAAGACATTGATATTAAAAAAAAGAATACGTTTTTATAAGTTTCCTTTTCTTTTTCTTTTTAGTTTTCTTGTTTACACCAGCAGAGATAAAGAGGAAATGAAACAGCTATAATTAATAAGTTTCGAGGCCGTTTTCACTCAAAAAAATAGAACAGATATGCAAAAATACATGTTTATCTGTCATATCTAAATTATTATTCAAAGCTCATTGTACTTAACTGATATCTTTAGTGAGAGCATAGATTATTAGTGAAAATATAAAAAACAAATTTTATCAATTTGATTTTTCATTTGATTTTTATCTTAACCATCTAAAACAATAAGACTTCATAAGAACACAAAACGATAAAAATGTGTCATCGTCGGTTTTTTATTCGAACCAAAAAGAGAAACGAGTAGAAACTACAAGGTTAATATAAGTCAGTTTTAGATCCTAGTTTAGACATGACAATTATATATATAGTTTTCATGTCTGTTCGACTTTCATATATTCGATGCAATAGAGAGAAAAAAACTCAAAAGAGCCCGCAATCTATCAATCAATCTTTATATACAGAACATGCAACAGTTCGATGAACGTCTGGAACGTAGAATAACTTCTATTCTATGTTTTTATATGTTAGTAAACGTTTGATTTTTTTCAATTGAATATATCCTTTGAGAGAACAATCGCGTATTCTTTATCTAAGTTACTTGAAATAAAGTTTTCAAAAATTATATCCACCTACACCCTAATTCTATAGCTAGTATTCTCAGCTGAAGTTCATAGAAACTCTTCTAGGATTTCTAGACAACGCATCGTAGCAGATCCTCTCAAAACCCTCATCATAGCTTTTGTTACCCTTTCTACTTTTCCAGACTAAGCCTTTGCTTTCCATATGACAGAGAAAGTCCTCACATGGTATTTTCAGAAACCTAAGTAAATGGTTATATCTCTCTATGAAGAGATTCGGTAAAATTAGCATTATTTCTCTGAATATGTCAAAAGTAGAAGATGTCTGATGCCAAAGATACCCCGTGAAATTCTGTCAAGTTTCCTCTATTTCGTATGTATTCAAATTTTCCTATAATCTTGCTAAAGTCTTGTCAGAGTCCTCTTTCGAACAGCTTGACTCAAGTTGGCAAAAACCTTATAAAATCTCACCTGTATCTCTCATGCGAGTGTTTAACAGATCCTTCAACAGAGTTTCATTCACTATCCAGAAAATCCTGTGATAGCGAATTATTTCGCACATTGTGAAAGATATGCTAAAAGATAAGTACTGATTGCCATGCACAATAGTTTCGCAAGGATTTGAAATCTTGACGCTTAAGATTCTTCTAACAAGATCGTGATAGAATGTTCTCAAGATTCTTCGACTTCGGAATCTGATTGAGTTCAATTTTTCATCATCTAAATCCCTCAAGGATTTAATTATGCAAAGATTCTGAATTCCAATTTACCAATAAACTCTTCAGATCCCTATATTTTTCTATCAAGAGAGTATGAACACAATTACCATTCATCTTCTCAGTATTTAGACAATGCTTCATTCTGAAAAATCTCTTTCGAAGCATCTCCAGTTATAGATATTATTCCGGTTTGAAGATCCTACTTTTCAGGACCTTGAAGGTCTTGGTAAGAACTTAAAGAAGTTCCTGCAAATACACAATTTCAAGGAATGAACAAAATTGAAATTGGGAAGTGACATAATGATAATAATTGTTCTGAAATCCTTTCTTACAGGAAACTACGATAGGTTTCTGATTTATAGTTCTGGTAAGAAAATGTCTCATTTGTAACACTTTTCTCCGCGACAGAATTACACATCTCTTCGACAGCGATCATGACGATTCCTTTTCTTTTCTCGTTCATTGTAGTGATTCCAAATATTCCAGCTGATGCTCTATGGGCACAGAATGGAGTGACCATGGCTGGAGGCCATGGAAAAGGTAATGCCGCCAATCAGCTCTCGGGCCCTGAAGGTATTTTCGTTGATGATGACCAAACGATAGTCATTGCTGACTTGAGCAATCATCGTATCGTTCAATGGAAGATGAGCGATATGAATGGACAAGTGGTAGCTGGTGGCAACGGTCAAGGAAATCAATTAGATCAATTAAATGGGCCAACTGATGTGTTGATCGACAAAGAAACAGATAGTTTCGTTATTTGTGATCGACAGAATAAACGAATCGTACGATGGTCTCGTCGTAATGACACAACTCAAGGAGAAATCTTCATCAACAACATCGAATGTTGGGGATTGGCCATAGATGATCAGAGATATATTTATGCCTGTGACATTGAAAGGCATGCAGTAAGACGATACCACATAGAAGACAAGAATGAAACTATTGTGGCTGGTGGCAATGGTTACGGTGGTGGTCTCAATCAACTCGACTGGCCATCCTATCTCTTTGTCGATCAACAACAGTCCGTATACGTGTCAGACCGTAACAATCATCGTGTGATGAAATGGAATAATGGTGCAAATGAAGGAATTGTCGTTGCTGGGGATCAAGGCCAAGGAGAGGCTCTGACACAACTGAACAGGCCAAAAGGAGTGTTCGTCGATACGTTGGGCACTATCTATGTAGCAGATGATCTGAATAATCGAGTGATGCGTTGGCGTAAAGGAGCGATGCAGGGCATCGTTATTACGGGTGGCAATGGTGCTGGAGAAGGAGCAAATCAGTTCAGGGGTCCACAAGGTTTGTCCTCCGATCGAGATGGTAATCTCTATGTCGCCGAGTGGGGAAATAATCGTGTTCAACGATTTTCTATCGAATAGACTCATTTCGATGAATCATGTTTTTTCTGTCCTTCAAATAAATCGCTTTGAATGAATTTCGTTTCTATTCTATTCGCACGCGCACCTAGAAGCCATCCCGGTGGAGTCGTGGGAAAAGTGAAGCTCATGCACGTACGGAACGGACTCAAATCATTCATATGAGATGTGCCATGAGTCTGGTGAAAGCTCAGTCATGTGCCATGAAAACGAAAGGTGCTGTCTCTCTTTGATGATGAACGATGATGCTTTATTGCTGGTGGTGCGGTAATGTTGATGGACAAAAGGAAAGGAAAAAAATTACTTACTTGAAATACTGAATAGCTATAATTAAAAAAAAACAAGCAATACATAAAAAATATCACAGGAGGATTCGCGATCGTTCTTTTTATCTGAAGGAAAACAACAAAAAGAACAAAGAAAAGTTGAGCGTGTGGATATAACAGAACCACTCATTCATACCCACACCGCAAGTGAAAGTAATCTTATCTGTAGATATCTAAACTGCTCAGTTGGAAAATTCATATGTAAGACAAAAAAGAAAACTAGGTAACTTCCTATATTGATAGTTTATATAGTATGCTATACATGTAAGAAATTTCTGATCACATAATCAATAAATAATAACAATTATTTTATTATGGGAATAAAATGTTTGTCAGGATTATCATCTAAAGAACATATAGATGAACGATTCTTTGTCTTATTTTCTGTTCTGCTTTGTCTCTAGTCATATATAAACAATTTTTTCTTTTTTTTGTTATTATCATTATTTTGTTGTTGTTGTTACTTTTGTTATTTCTTTTTCTCGGTGCAAGCTTAGGTTCTTACTCATCAAAAATCAACAAAAGAAACCCATGAACCTAACAAAATCAATGCCAAATCAAATAAATCAGTATTTTTTATATTCTAAATTGATCTTATTAACTATATATGTTTATTAGCAATTATCATGCAGTTTATAGACAAACTCCAAGTAGTCATAAAAAAATCAGTATGATTACTACACCCCCACAACTTTGAAAGTGTGCTGAATCAATTTGCATTTTCAATTCTATAGTTCACATAACATACACTAAAATAAAATGTGTCGCAGTTAGAGTATGTTGTATGTGAATTTTTCGCGCTCTGTCTGCTGACTATCTACTTACCATTTTGTTTTACACGCTCAGCTAGATATAGATAACTCGATTGAAAACTTTAAACTTATGTTTCCATACTATTTTTTTCCAGATTATTTCTCGATCACTTATTAGTCGAATGAACATGCCGGTTTCGATCGACGATCGAGAAAGGACTACCCTGAAGCGGTGGGCATGGGTGTGGGTGTCAATAAGGGTAAAGAGAAGATACATGCACACCCACACCCCATAAGACTATAAGCTGTTTGCTCTTGTTAAAATTAATAAAGAGGGCCAAATGTATTTATGGACTATTTCAATAAACAATTATCTATTATAAATTATATAGCTATGGTTTTTTATAATGAATTATTACCTTTAAACAATAAAAAACGAAAACAATTGGTATTGTTCTTGAGGTTCCGATTATAGATAAATTGAAAATAATTCATGATGCTTTCTATTAGCTATAATATGATGTTTGTGGTGAGAATATTGAATTAGCTTTTTAATTATTAAGAATTTATTTGAATAGGAGATATAATGTGACACTAGAGTCACCTATTATCTGTTCATGTGTTAGGGTGTGAGTGGATGGGAAATGAGTGTGGATCTTGTTATAATTCCCATCCACACCCTAATTGGTTAAGGTTTGCTTCACATCTTCTGCTTCAATATTTGATTGTAAAGAATTTCTTGATACAAGTCAAGATGTTCCAACAAGGTTATAATTAGTGAGGATTGATCACAGCATACATAATTTGATATGACAATCAATATTAAGATTCGGTGTACACTAGTAAAGAATAGACTCTAGGTAAAATCGCTTAATAGAAAATCAAGATTTAAAATGTGTAAGATAATTCCGGAGTTACACACTTTGGTGAATAATGTATTCATTGTCACGTGAACAACAATAAATCGACTACTATCTTTTAATTGAAATTGTTTTTATGCTTTTCTATATTCAAAGTAGGAGGAACCATTTTTTATAATAAAGATATCATCATCTGGGCGTTTAGGCTCTTATCCACTACATTCAAAATATAATATCTTTATTATTAAAAATGTATTTTGCTATTTTGAATATAAGAAAAAACATCAAAGTAATTTCAATTGAAATTAAGTTTTCGATTATTGTTGTTCACATGACAATGAATACATTCTTTGCCAAAGTGTATAACTACAGAATTATTCTATACTTTTTAAATCTTGAATTTCTATGAAGCGATATTACCTAGAATCTGTTCTTTACTAGTGAATCCTGAATCTTACTATTGATTGTAATATCAAGTTATGCATGTTGTAATCATTCTTTAGCAGATTTAATCTGTTGAGTAAAGTAATATGTTAAACGGATAGTATGAAAAATGCTTAAGAACGCTATGTATATTAACGCATTTCACATAGTCAAAAATGTTCGAAATTACGAGTTATAACGTACTCTCCATAAGAACTCATTAAAGTGATTTGCCCTAAATGCTGTTATATCAGGATTGAAGTGAAAGAAAAAAGGGCTCTATTAAAACGGTTATTTCGAACATTTTTGACTATGCATAATGCATTGAATAAAAAAATAATAAGAACTGTTTTAACGTATCAATCTCATATTTTTGACTGCATGGGTACGCTTGCCAATCTTTATTTACATTAATGAAAACAGTGCATATGTGCGTATATTAACTGTTCTGCTGCTGCGTTTTTCAAAATAAATATCTTTTTATTTTGTTTATAATGGAGAAACACTTCTACACACAAGAACTGAATAGAAAGTCTCTTTGTTATACCAATATGTGCTGTTAATATCATCAACATAACGTGTTTTTTTGTTATTATTTTTGAATATATTTGCATGAAAAAATGACTATAAGGTATCTAGTAGTTTATAAATCGAAAACTTTGAGTTGTTTATTAGAATTCTTTTTCAACTATACAAGTCACAACAATCAGGCTCTCTATTATCAGATATATTCCTCATCAACAAATCATCGAATAATTGAAAAGTTGAATTGAACATTTGAAAAGATTTTTTGGGTTTTATGCGTCAATCATAGTCTATCGATGTATTTTTTTATCAATGTTTTTAATTACCTTTTTGATAGAACTCATTGACTTGCTTCATTTTATTACCTAATNTGAGTTTCTTCTGAGTAAGAAAATCGAATTAGAATTAGACAGTTTTGTAAAATGGGTACATTTCTGATTGAATACTTAAAGAGTTCGCTAGTATTGAAGTACAATAATGAATCTGATAGAGAACGCTCTTAATCAATTACAATGTAGTGGTTTAGTTTATGTAGTATCCTAAAAAAATCAATTAGCATCTCAGCACTTCAGCACCCGCCCAGCACCTACTCAGCACCTGAGCACCTACTCAGCACTTTTCCAGCACCTCAGCACCTACTCAGCACCTCAGCACCTGCTCAGCACCTCAGCACCTGTCCAGCACTTACCCCCCTGACTTATCCACCAAACTTCATTAAAAAACAATTCAATCGATTCTTCCACGTTTATAAAGCCATGCCTGTTCTCACAGAATTAAATAGCGATGCATACACTAGACTACACCAACGAGTATTATATCAACCTACACGACGCGAAAAGCAATTTCAAACAATGACACAAGATCTCATTCGGTATCCTACTGCACTTCAAGATAAGATATGGGATCCAAACATAATGCACCCACGATATGACTATCAAAGTTCGACATTCCGCCAATTTCGACAAAAATTTTTACTACGGTGGCGAACTTACTATGCAAATTATGACGCCGGACTGGCAAGCATCAAAGTTCGAACTGTTGCTGTCACGAGTACGACACTTGAAACATTTTTCATACATAAAAAACCATTAAAAGAAATCTTGACACGAATCGATAAAAATTGCATCCAAACATAAATCAACAAAACTCAAAAATATTCACAAAGAGAAAACGGTTACCCAGTACTATTTCTACAACATAACTTCCCCATTTTGAATTATGTATCCCACTTGTGAAATATATTGAAATAAAATTTAAAAAAAAAACCATTCACCAATGAAACAATCTCAGTTACGATAAAACGTTTACATCTCTTATTTGAGATCATGATCATTCGAACTATATACAGGTACCAATCAACTGACCTGGTACAAAAACTCAGCTAAAAAACAAAGAAATATCCAGGACAATACTTTCAAGACGGAAAACAATATCCAAAACAAAAGTGCACTTGAACAGATCCAAAAAATCCCAATATACTCACCGCACAACAAAAGATATTGTGAAAAATCACCGAATCAAGTAAGTTCAAAAAACAAAATACAAACTATTTGACAAAAAAGAAAACACAGGTGATTTAGAAACATCCGATGAACAAGCTTCCGAAACCAACTGAAAAGCTCAAAAAAACACCGTGCATTAATGATAACAAACCAAGGCAACGCCTTTGTGCGTCACACATAAACCTAAAAACCAAAACTAACTAATAGCCTTCAATATATACGAGTAACTACACAACCTAAAGGTTGAAAAACAAAACAACACCATCAACCAAGAACTGAGGAGAAAAAAAGATACCATTATCTCGACGATCTCTTCCATTTAGACCCGGCCTACATCTGATATTATAATAACGAAACCATATACGCAACATTCCTACAAATCCAAACCTCACAATAGTAAATCGATTTATGTCAAATTGAATCTCAACATAAGAAAATAGTTGAGAGTCTTAGATGTAGGATCTTTGGCTCTTATAATTCTCTCGTACTGAGATTTCATTTGATCCGATGCAATACACTTGAATTCCAAATTCACCTGACGAGTCCCTTAAGCAAGGACGAAACCGGTCGTGATATGCTTGGAATTCATATTAGAAACACATCCACACCCACACC